CACGCCAGCCGTCAAAGCCTCCAGCGTCGAATTCCATCCACAGTGGGTCAAGAAACAACCCGATGATCTGTGCGACAGCACTTTTTCCTGCGGGCTCCAGGATACCAACATTCCGTTGCTATCTTTTACCCTCTCCATAATTTCTGCCGGCAGAAGTTTTCGACAGTCGTCGCGAACGACCCAGAGAAATGGCCGGCCGCAGTTAAGTAGGCCGTTCGCCATCTCGGTCATCTCGGTCTCTGTTAGTCTCACGACGCTGCCTAAAGAAACGTAAACGACTGAATTCGGCAGCTGTATAAATCCAGCCACTGAACGCAGTCATCCGCTGATTTCCATAGATCCCCGTTGATTTCTGAATTCGAGTTGTCATCGACGAGAGGCCCGACGGGGATCAGCGGTAGCTTGTCGGAGAGAGATTTGATGGCGTCGTGCTCGAGCTCTTGGAACGAGTTGAGGAGCACCCAGTTGGCTTTCTGTATGTTTCTGAACTGGGATAAGATTACCTCCGTGAGAGACTTGTACGGGTTGGAGGGGAGCATGAAGGTTGGAAGCTCATCGGGCCTTAGCGTCGGCAAGCCAGGGAGGCTGACGGCGACGTCAGGATTCTCCACCGAAGGGAACTCGACAAGAGAATGAACGTAGTGGTAGTAAGTAGAAAAAACGGCGGCAGACTGAACCCAGAGGCACGGCAGAGGGGATCCGAGTCACTCGGCGGACGTCCGAGGGCACACGGGACGACAGGGATTGTTGACGGACGCAAGACACGGGGTGGCCTCACCGTCGAGGCGGCGGTATGAGGGCGGAGAGCTCGGGGGCCAGCAGACGTGGGAGGTTCGGGTGAGGAGTCGGAGGCTGTAGCGGCCAGGGGTCGTCTCCGTCGGAGCAACCGCTCGGGAGAACCTCGAAGCGGATGTGCGACGGCCAGAACGGGGATGGGGGTGAGGAGGCTGCAGGGAGTTCGGAGGAGGAGACGGAGGAGGAGAGGATGCGCGGCCGATGAAGACGGAGAGGAAGGGGGGGGGGGTTATGAAGAGGCCTTTGGAGGCGAGCGCTTTCGAGGCGGAGGAGGGTTGATTGTGGCCTTGAGCGGGAGGAGACGAGGAGGATGTGAGGAACAACGAGCGGCTTCTCCATGTTGGAAGTGAAGACGAAGAAAAGTAACTCTGGATGGGTTATTTTATTTTATTTTATTTTTTTTGGTGGAAGAGAGAGAGAGAGAAAGAGTTCGGAATTTATAAGGAGGAGACGGGAAGGATCAGAGCATGTTTTGTGGTGGAGGAGAGTTTGGGTTGCGACGCAAAACTCTGGACAGGAGTTTGCTTACGTTCTAATACGTCTCTGCATCACATGGTTTCTTTTTTTATAAAGGAATCGTAAAGATTCTACTGCCGGCCGTACACTCCAAAAATAAGTTGGTTCGAGCCAACAGAACCGAAGAAAGTGATACGTAAATATCCGCTAGCGAATTCAACTAAACCGTGAGCCCAACGGAAGCTTTCTAGGGCAACACGAACAATAACTTGAACTAAACCACAAACAATACGCAAACCACAATCACAGCAAGAACAAAGAATTTACGTGGTTCGGCAAGTTGCCTACGTCCACGGGCAAGGAGGGGGGCAGGGGGGGGATTTTACTACTAGAAATCAAGGGAATACAAATAGGGTTACAAATCTCTCAGACCAAACCCTAAAACAAAGCACTTGATCTCTCAAAGCTCTCCCACAATTGGATGCAACAAATCTCTTTTAGAGGCTGCGTAAAATCGTCCTTAAGATTCCCTAACAAATCAGGTTTAGGATATATATAGCTTACAAAACGAAACGGGTCAAAAAACCTGAAGCCCAGCCCAAATCATCGTCGGTCGACCGCGCAGGTCTCGCGGTCGACCGAATCATCAAACCCGAGAGCAGAAAATCCTACAGTCATCCGCGGTCGACCGCACCGGTCGACCGCCACCATCTTCGGTCGACCGCACCGGTCGACCGCCACCAGCTCCGATTCCCAGTAGGGTTTGTGCACGTTTGCGGTCGACCGCGCCGGTCGACCGCCAAACTCTCTGCTGATTTTTTCTGAGTTTCTGTAATTCTTCAATTCTCCACCTTTGCGAATGTTTCCACCAAAAACTGAGCCGACACAGAATCATCCAATAGTTCCTCAACAAGTCCGGGAACAAAACTCGAGCTGAAACGCGATCTCCCCCCATCTGAATCAACTGATCAAACCGGCTGCATCTGAAAGACTGCCTACGTATCCTCTTGCCCAAGGAATCTCAGCACTGAAGGATGTTCAAAAGCTTCAAACAATGACCAAATTTCACTCCTGAAACAACTTTGGTCAACATATCTGCAGGGTTGTCATTTGTGTGGACCTTCTCCAATATGACATCTCCATCATCCAAGACGTCCCGAACAAAGTGAAATCTGACGTCGATGTGCTTCGTGCGCGCATGATAAACCCGGTTCTTCGCCAAATAGATAGCCGACATGCTATCACAATATATCCGAATAGTCTCCTGAGTGATCCCCAAGTCCTCCAATAATCCACACAACCATAAAGCCTCCTTAATTGCTTCAGTAACCGCCATATACTCTGCCTCTGTAGTAGAGAGAGCCACTGTGGACTGAAGCGTGCAACGCCAACATACAGGTGCACCTGCCAATGTAAAAGCATATCCTGACGTAGACCGGCGTTTGTCAAGATCTCCAGCATAATCTGAATCCACATATCCAATACAATCCTGCCCATCCTTCTCATCCTTCTGAAATACTAAACCAATATTCACGGTGCCTCAAACATACCGTAGAATCCACTTCACGGCCTCCCAATGACCCTTCCCGGGGTCGTGCATGTATCTCGATACCATGCTCACGGCCTGTGATAAATCTGGCATCGTACACACCATCGCATACATCAAGCTACCTACTGTACTGGCATATGAAACATTCGACATATAATCTCTGTCCTCAACTGAAACATGTGACATCAACGCTGAAAGCTTGAAGTGGGGAGCCAATGGTGTGCTAACTGCTTTTGCATTGCCATCAAAGCTGAATTTCTTCAACATCTTCTGCAAGTAACTCCTCTGTGTAAGCTTCAATTTCCCCTTCACCCTGTCTCGCTCGATCTCCATACCCAATATCTTCTTTGCCTCTCCAAGATCCTTCATCTCAAACTCGGATGATAACTCCTCTTTCAGCTTTCGAATAGCCGAAGAATTCCTGGAAGCAATAAGCATATCATCAACATATAAAAGCAAATATATGAGCTCACCATCCTGTAGCTTGTGCATATAAACACATGGGTCATATGGGCTCCTCGTGTACCCTCGGCCAATCATAAAGCCGTCGAATCTCTTATACCACTGTCTTGGTGACTGCTTCAAACCGTAAAGAGACTTCTTCAGCTTACAAACCAATTCTTCCTTTCCTGCAGCTTTGAAACCCTGGGGTTGTGTCATATAGATCTCCTCATCTAAATCACTGTGTAGAAAGGCTGTCTTCACATCCATCTGGACCAAATCCAAATCCAACTGTGCCACCAACGCCAATAAAATCCGTATCGACGAATGCTTCACAACGGGTAAAAATACCTCGTTGTAATCAATACCCTCAAGCTGTGCATATCCCTTGGCAACTAATCTGGCTTTGAACCGAATGTCCCCAATAGAAGATCCCTCCTTCTTCGCATATACCCACTTGCAACCAATAGCTTTCTTACCCTTAGGTAGATGTGCAAGTGTCCAAGTGTCGTTCTTCTGAAGAGACCGCATCTCCTCCTCCATAGCTTCCCTCCACCTGATCGAATCGGGGCTAGACTCTGCCTCCCTGAATGTGGCTGGAACCATATCATCAACGACCTCCACTGATAATGCATATGCGACCATGACATCATTATACCTAGCTGGCCGACGAATCTCTCTCCTCGGTCTATCTGCTGCAATGGTCCTCTGAACATGACCCTGTTCCTGAGTCCCATGATCCACTGTATCTTGTATCTGCCCGGCTGTTATCTCATCTCCTCCCAGTGTCACCTCTGTAGGAGCCTCGATGGATACAATGCTCTCTGGAGTGGGTGAAGTCACATCATCCTCCACCTGCTGCGATATCTCTCCTGTCTGGTCTCCCTCCACCTGCTGAGGGGCTCGAGGCCTCATCATGTACGCCTCATCAAATGTGACATCTCTGCTAATAACTATCTTCTTGTCCTGTGGATCCCATAACTTGAAGCCTTTGACTCCATCCCTAAATCCCACAAAGACTGCTTTCCTCGCTCTCGGATTTAATTTGCCATCACTGACATGATAATAAGCTGGACACCCGAATATCCGAAGCGACTCATAGTCAATAGCCTCCGAACCAAACCAACGCTCCAAAGGAGTCTTCCCGTCTATCGCAGTGCACGGCAACCTGTTCACAAGATGGCTCGCATAAACCAACGCCTCGGCCCAAAAAGATCTAGGCAATCCACTCTGCGTCATCATACACCGCACCTTCTCCAGCAAGGTACGGTTCAATCTCTCAGCCACCCCGTTCTGTTGCGGTGTCTCTCGAACTGTGAAGTGTCTTCTAATGCCGTGATCCCGGCAAAACTGCAGAAACGGATCACTCTTGTACTCTCCACCGTTATCTGAACGTAGAGTCTTCACCTTTCTACCTGTCTGCAGCTCCACTTTCTTTTTCCACTCCACAAAAATATCCAGGACCTGATGTTTATGCTTCATCGGGTATACCCAATTCCTCCTGGAATAATCATCAATGAAAGTGACAAAATAGTTGGCCCCACCAAGAGATGTGTTCTTGGAAGGACCCCAAACGTCCGTGTGAATATAATCCAATGTACCTTGGGTGTTATGAACAGCGGTGCCGAACTTCACTCTAGTCTTCTTCCCAAGTACACAATGCTCACACAATTCCATCTTGCAGGTCTTAGCACCTTTCAATAGCCCCTGTTTAGCCAATGACTGTAGGGACTTATCTCCTGTGTGTCCAAGTCTCATGTGCCATAAGGTGGTAGTGTCCTCCTCTGTAGTGATAGAAGCTGCCAGACCCCCTGTAACTGTCTTGCCCTTCAAGTAGTATAGGTAGTTTTCCCTGACACCTCGCATCACCACCATAGAACCCTTCGTGACCTTCACTGTAGCATCCTCTAAGATCACTCGATATCCTGCTGCCTCCAAAGTCCCAAGAGAAATGATGTTCTTCGTCAACTGCGGCACGAACCTCACTTCCTTCAATTCCCTCACTACACCATCATGCATCCTGATCCGGACTGAACCAATACCACCAATAGGGCATACGTGATCATTACCCATAAGCACGACATCCCCTCTTTCCAGCTCCTCAAAGCTAGAGAACCACTCCTTCTTAGGGCAGATGTGATATGTAGCTCCCGAATCCATCATCCACTCCGTGGAATCCGCATAGCAAACCGACGGTAAAGCAGGGCATGAATAGCCTGAAGAATCTGAATCTGAATGCTCACCAATAGCTTTTGCAACATTCACTTCTGAAGCTTGAGCAGCTTTCCCTTTATTCTTCCCGGCTTTTTCTTTCCACTTTGGGCAGTCAATCTTCCAATGTCCTTCTTCTTTACAATACCGACATTGATTTCTACCAACACTCTTATAGGCACTTCTATTCCTTGATTTTGAGCGGTTGAATTAGCGACGGTTTGGATCTCGGCCTCGAACTGCTAA